TGAGCCATAGAATCTGATGATCAGCCGAGCAAATTTGAAAAGGCGCATAACAAATGATATGCATGCGATGTACAATTAGTTATATTCTGATGTGGAATATGAATTAACGTGGGAATGAAGCAAACAGCTGCACTAACTACGCCAATGGCATCATGAGTGCTTCACATCCCCCAGGCGGCGATGCAGTTATAAATGTAACTCCAGAAATACTCAACATCAGGTAAGCATTACACCTTAGATTCTCCATCTGTAACCACTTAACAAGAAATGAAGTGTAAAATGGTTGACCAAATAAACCGCAAGCCTCATCAGAAAGGAAAGGTTCAACTACTTTTGCTGTTGTTGAAGTTTTGTGTATGACGAAGATTGTCACAACGTTCAATATGATGGCGGTATAAGTTAGAAAACTGTTAAAAATAAAGTCGGCTATCGTGGTTGAAAGAAGGTCTCTGGTGTCGACACTGGAGGGATAATACTGCAAAGATTTGAGCTCGTTACCTCTTGAGTGAAAACTGGGAACTTCAGATAGCTACATATTGTTATGCTAATGTTTACGGTATTTGTTTTGTTTGGAAACTTGACACGAGTGGATCACTGACTCTACCTTCTTAAATTATTACCCTTTAGCTATCCTTTCATAAACGTGATGATCCTAAGCTAAATAGAGCTCGATTGTTGTTAACTTCATACAAAGGTATACACCACTTTGAAAAGTATGGCTTAAGTCAACATTTTAAAAGGTCGAGATGTTAACTAGTTTTGTAATTATAAAACAGACATTAATGATGCCGTACACTTAGTAGCCTGAAACTTGAATGTCATAAAATCTATCACGCAGTACAAAGAAAGGCGTTCAGTAATTATCAGGAACGACCCTTGAAGACCGATTGAAAATTAGGCGGGGTGGCTGATTTCTGCTCCGAGACATCTTGCGAAGTATGTCTATGATAGCGTGTCGAACATGTCTCATCTTCCAACAGTAGATGACAGGGTTCAGTGATGAATTAAGAAAGATGAGGGTCACTGAGAGAAGATAAAATTTTTTCAAAGCAATGCCCGAGCCATAGATTCTAAAACCAGCCGAGCAAATTTGGAAAGGCAAATAACAAATTGCAAGCACAATAGTTACGTAGAAAATACTAATCGTAGATTTAATGAGGGTAGCAAATTTTTTTATCTCATCTGACTGAGCTTCTTCTCGAATTGGCATGGACTGTATCTGATTCTTGTGCCTTCGGACAGTTAAATAAATCTTGATATAGAACATAAACGTGAGAATAAAGCCAATAGCTGCACTAGCTAAACCAATGGCATCTCGAGTGCTACGCAGCCCCCACAATGTCATTGAAGAAACAAATATACTGTACACCCATATTGAGATCACCATATAAACAACACGCTTGTGAGTCACAAGCTCTTGGTATCTGAGGTGAAGATGAACAGCTAAGAACCTTTCCATACTTACAGCTACAACACCTAAGGACGAAGCAAGTGAGAATAAAGCGCCAGAAATACTTAATATTAAGTAAGCGTTACAGCTTGGATTCTCCATTCGTAACCACTTGATAAGAAGTGAAATGTAAAGTGGTTGACCAAATAAACCAACGGCCACATCGGAAAAGGCGAGGTGTAGAAGAAGCGTCTTTAAGGGTTTTGCAATTGTCGCAGCTTTGTGTATCGCGTAAATTGTCACAATGTTGAACATGATGGCAGTGTAAGTTAGAAAACTGTTGAAGATACAGTTTGTGATGATGGTTGGCCGCAGATCTTTGAAATCGGCGATAGAGGGATAATGTTGGGAAGACTCGTTGCAATACAAACCGTTCATAATGTCAACTCCCACATGAAATGAAAAATGGGAACTTCAGACAAACAGAATGTTGTATTGCCCTTTGCGGGATAATGTTTTCCTCTTTCGACACGAACGGATACGGCTGAATTCACTTTAATTTCCTCTTTTCCATTTGCAATCGTGATGATCTCAAGCGAAATAAGTAGGATATCTGCCGATGCTACAGTTCAGCTTGTCCAACTAATGGCCAATATGGCTCAATAAAGATAGACCTCGTTGTTGCGAATGACCACTGAATACAACAAGACTTTGTGCACAACAAGCCGTTTTGCAGTTGAACGTGGACTTTGTCAACAAAGTATGAATTGAGACTTAAACGAGGCCACAAAAAAAAAATACAGACCACTCTCATCTAAAATGCCATGGAGAGGCATACGCGATTTTTAAGAGAAAAGCTTAAACTAACACCATGACAAATAAATATTCAACGTGCAAAATAGAGAATAAAGGTGCCGCACACTTAGAGCCCCAAAGCTGAATGTCATATCATCTGTAAAAACGACTTTCAAACAATTTTTATTGGACGCTTTTTTTAAACTTACTTATGCACAATTATTTTCACTCTTTTGAAATTAACAAAAACTGTTAATTATCACGAAACTGTTACTCGCGGCCAAGCGAACCTAGACTGCCACTCATACCATAAACTCTCAATTTCCCATTTCAGCCTGCGCCGAAATGGGAAATTTTTTTGTTTTATAGCTGAAAAGTTAAGTTTTGTCCATTTCGTGCAAAAGCTGCTGTTTCTGTCTATTTCTGTCCTTGGAAAAGTAGAACTGTCATAATATAGAACTCAAATTTCCATAAGTTCATGGCAAAAAAGACCTCCCGCGTTCACCAGACGTTAAACTGTCTCACTTTGGAGTTGCAATGAAAATTTCGTTACTTGACTTCTGGGGGGAATATACGCTAAGAAATCAATGGTGCTTGTCACCATAATTATGATATAAAGGGCCAAAGACATAGACGAAAACGGAGTTAAGGCAGCAATAGCATTCCTAGTTATATTAAGTTTTAAATAACTTTCGCCTCAGGTGCGGATCACAGCAGACTTGATGAGGCCACAGTGAAAACAAAAAAATAGACAATTCCTCCCATACTTTAAATACATCATTTGTAAAAGATGACTTCCTCAATAAATTTTTTTAGGTTTCTTAGATGTTGATATGATTTAGCGAACCCATATTGCTGCTTTTTTAGATAAAAACGGTTGATGAAAGATTTTCAAAAATCATACGCGTTGCATTAGAGTCTAGTTTTATACTGTGAGCGACTTCCATTCTGAATGCGTACTACGCATGTAGGGGAGTTATTTATGGGCAAAATGTTGAACGAGAAAATGCAAGTTAGGTTCCATTTCAATTTCAATCGATCCACCAAATGATTGTTTCTCTAAAACTGGAAATTATATTGCATGACAAAAGGAGGAATTAGTAATTCTTAGTAGCTTATTATTCAGGCCGATCCACAAGGACTTAACTTCCGTTGATAAGGATAGACGGCATGCTTCACTGCATCGCCAAATAAGTTGTTGAATTATTGATATTGTAAGCCAGGCTATTGTTATTGTTAACGAAATTTGACGGAAACAATATCGAAATATGGGCAACGAGTGTTTGAGTAAGATATGACAAACTGTGTTTGTTAAACATGACATTACGTATGTAGTTAAGAGCATCTAGAAATAAATTAAACAGGTTGGCTATAGATGTCGAAAACGTAGGAGCCCGAAACTTTTATGTAATATCATCTTTCAAAATAAATTTTAAACAAATTGTTGCGACGCCACGGCGTCACTTTAGACACCTTTTCAGAAATTAACATATTTAAATATTTTACTAACACGAAATTTTAACCGCGTTTCTATTACTAAAACTTCGTCTCATTAAGAGAATTTTATTAGAAAAATGAAGTAAAAGCACTGTTATCCTCCGTGACCATCTGAAATTTAAAAAGAGTGAGCAAACACACAGAGGGAGCCTATCTTTTTGCGCTTTTCTCTCTATAACAAATTTGACAAATAATTCGGCGGAGCAAAGTGAGACGAGCAGGAGATTAAGGAGCTCTACACCAAGTTTGTTTCTTCGTTCAGGGTAGTCAAGTGCCTTGTTTGATTGGTTGTATTCTGCTTTCGAAAATTCATCTAAAAGTTGATATAGAAAATGATATGCCTGCTTCTACTTTTATTTTTATCAACAAAACCAAATTGCACTGTCCATCGAAAATAAATCTGGCATTACGGTTTCATTGAAATCCATCTTTCCCGGTTAATAAGTTTGAAAAGGCAGATAACATATCATATGCGCGGGATATACGTAGAATATACTAACTGCAGATTTAATGCGGCCAGCAAAGTTTTTCATCCCATCAGACTGAGCTTCACCTCGTATTTGTATGGACTGCATCTGATTCTTGTGCCGTCGAACGGTTAAATATATCCTGATGTACAACACGAATGTCAGAATGAAGCTAGCTACTGCAATAACTAAGTCAATAGCATCCCGAGTACTACGCGGCCCCCTTAAATGTTACTGAATATAATCATGCAATAAACACCCATATAGAGATCACCACAAGCAAAACGCGCTTGTGAGTCACAAGCTCTTGATATCTGAGGTGAATATGAACTGCTAAGAACCTTTCCATACTTAATAATAATACTTAAAGAAGTTATCTCACGGATTTTGTTTTACCTAAAAAGCGTTCAAATGATAACGAACGGCGAGCGCAAGTTTCTACCTCTTTCTCTCTTCAGCCAACTTTCGCAAGATTTACTCTGTTCATTTAAAAAAAAATCGCGCTTTGTCGAAGAAGTGCTGTTTCAGCCTAAAAGCGAAGTGGTAGCCTTTCCCAAAATTGAAATGAAATGAGATTGAGTCAGCGATGTCCATGTTTACATTAAGTCTGACGCGGTAATTTGATTTTGACACTATCGTCATGTGAGAACCCGTCAAACATCTGCGCAAAGATGTGGTGCGAACAAACTCGCGACTAAACTGGAACTAGTTCTACTGCTGAATGAGTTCAGTCATGGTATTTTTCAGCGCTTTGTTTTCATGCTTTCTACTCGATTCGTACGAACTTCAGGAAATAATTTCAATTGTCTCACAAAACATGGAGCCACTCTCTTCTCTCTACATCTCGAGACGTTCTTACTGCTTGGTTTATGATGAATATGCTTGCGATACGATATTTTTTTCCTAATGCTGGAAACTGAAGAATCGATCTTTGAAATCGGTAGTCATCACATTTTTGCAAGGAGCGTCGGAGCTGTAATCGTGTAATTGAACAGGGTCTTGGCAATTTGAGCTCACAAGCACGCTGGTAAGCACATGATTAGCGTAAATAATTGTTGTTTACAGTTTTTTAATCCGAGAGCCGTTTTCGAGAGTCCGTTTCTGTAACCTTCTTGGATATTTTCTGTTGAATTCATTGAGGTACAATCTCGGAATTTCATAGGTGATTATGAACGATAAATTCGTATCGGCACCATAATTTAGGGAGGTTTTGTTAACACATTACCAATTTACAATTCGTGAACCATTTCTGTAACCTAGTTGGATATTTTCTTTCGAATTAATTGAGTCACACTCTGGGAATTTCATCAGTAATTTACAACGATAAATCCGTATAAGTAGCACAAGTGAAGCACAATTCAAACTTGCCATACGATTTTAGGAAACTACATTTAATTGACTCTCGATAAATTGACCTAGCCCCAAAACCCCGGCTTATGACTCTGGAGGTACTGAACTTGATATATTTGATACACAAGGCACCTTAGAAGGAGGAAGGTTAGAATAAAATGATTGCTTTTACGACCTTATATTGCACCCGGTTTACATAATTATGTAGATATTTGCTTAAAAAATACTTATTATAGCTTTCTTCAGAAGCAAAGACACGTTGGTAATATGCTTCTGTTTTATTTTTATTGTAAGGGGTTTCTTTTTATGTAACATATATCCATTCCTTTAATGTCCTCCTTAACCTTCCTGCAAATAATTAAATTTTATGTTTTAATTCAAGAGTGAGAAGATAAAACAGAAGTGTTGCAGAGTTCTCTTTACAGACTGAATTCTGGTGAGAACATCAGTAAACTAGTTGATGTCACATGCCCCTCTTTAATTTTAATGCCCTAGTCTTTTTCACAAAGCCTCCTTTATATCTCTGTGTGCCAACCAATGATTAAAATCGCAGTGAATAGATATGCCATATTTTATCAGTCTTTTTAAATTCCATCTTTAAGTTTTTGTACATTTAATTTTAAAATTCATAAATGACATTCTCTTTTCATCCTTTTAAAAGAGATATTTCACATTTGTTAAACTAAAATCTGAATCATGAAGTCAACTTAATTTCAGTGAGTTTGAAACTTTATTGTACATAAGAACACTTTACTGGAGTATGTTACATTTATTTGCTGTCTTTCTGGTACATATGATTACATAACCCTTAAACTTTTAAGATCTCATTAACAATTCTCTTTACTGTCTGCCATACAATTTATGTGATGTTAGGTTGGAGAATTTGGAATTGGATCAACCAATTTCCTCTAATTGATATTTTCCTATATTCTCATTACTTGTCTGCTTGATGTTGTACTGATTGTGTTATGAGAAATTCTGTCTAGGTCACTAGTGGGATTAAAACAGTTAAAATGTGGGATTTCATTATATTGTAATGATAACAATTTTCTTATGCTTTCAAATGTAACCAAAAAAATGTGATGAGAATCTGATGTTATGAAACAATGGAAAAACCTGTTGCTGGTAGCTTATGTCTTTAATGTTTAAATGTTCATGGGAAATGCTTTTCTTTGAAAGCAAGGATACAGAAGTTTTTGAAGCTAGTAGAAATAAACTGTTTGCAAGAAATGAAAAGCAAACTGACAATCATACCTTAATGCTTGACATGCTTCACTCAAACATGTCAGTTGTGTGTACCTACCATTGTAGAGGTGTCTTTCATGAAAAATATTTTCAGGTGGGGCTGTTATTCTTTGTTGATCTTTGAAGCCAAAAAAAGCTGGTAAAGGCACCAAACTTCAATTTTTATGTACACAAGGCACACTCTAAGGTGGAAGAGTAGAAGACCATAGACTGATGTTTACCAGGCACTTGCACTCACCACAATTATATATTCAAGCAATACTCTACAAATATAAAACTGATAAGATGATGTCTTCAACCCATTACACCCTAATATCGGCATGCATCTTCTCCATACTGTTCTCCATACATTTCCTGATGTGCTGGGAAGGAGAATTTGTTTAACAATCAAGAGGTTCTTCAGTTGATTATCATTTCCTTTATTCTCAGGACCTTAAATTAAAATGGGCCCTGCTATTTTAATTCAGGTTTTTACTTTGACCTGCATGAAAGTTAAATTAATTGGCATCTGCATAATGCACAAAGCAAGAATATAAATGACTTAGATTGATAGGTTATAAAATTGAAATAAGAAAGTTGTGCAGACCATATCTTGCCTTTTATCCTTCTCTGGATATTTACTCAAATAACATAGTCACTACCAGTCTCTCTCATTCTCACTTTCCACTGAGCTTGTGGAAAGATGATAACCTCAGTATTTTTTTAAATGAAGAAAGGAAAGCCTGCCCTCTTACCACAGATAGTTCTTTTGTGCATCATTGGTACATACCTAGTCTTATTTGTACATGAAGTTGATTGTTCTTGGTAGGCTAACCTATCAAATTAGTTGTGTAAATTTCTTTGTTTGACTCAATTTTACCTGACAAACCTAAACTGTATAAATAGAAACTTGAAATTTATTTCTTCTCCTTTTGAGGTGTGCATCAAAATTTTGAAGTCATGGTAGGCTTGAACTACAGGTTTATAAGAAATCTGCATGGGTGTGCGTGTTTTCAACATATAAAACCAGTAAAAAGGTTGCTTAGCTTTTTTCATTAAAACACATTTCTTTTTCTAAGAATCTTGTTTATTTGGCCTATGCTGACTTCTAATTTTTCAAAAAAAATTTTACATTCTTTTGAATATTATTAGATCCCCTAGTATCAGTTAATATTCATGTAATGAAAGTAATTACATCAAATCTTGCATATGTTTGGTACGTTTTTCCACTGATCCTACTGACATTTCATCATGCATAGGGATTGATATTGGCTATAAAAGAATAGTTAAATTAAATATCTGAAAATAGTTGGGTTGAAATATAATACAATAACTTGCCGGTAGATGGTCAAATAAATACTTTTTACATATCAATAAAATTTATTGTTGTATTTCATGTGAACATGTTGCAATAACTCTACCTTCCAGTAAATTCAACCATTTGCAAACATGAGAAAATACCATCAAAAACTTTTCAATCCATTTTATATAGCCAATAACAAAATCAACTCAAATTTAAAACTAAAGAGAAAACTTGATTGATGTTTGGAATTGATTGCTGTGATGTAAAAATGAAATCCAGGTATTATCTCAAGTTTTCCACAAATGTCTTCATGATCGAATCCTAAGTCTCTCTTCGTCATCGAGTTTTAATCACGACATTTTAGCTCTAGCTTGTCTTCTTTTAAAGCAAACTTTTGCAGCGCAAGAAACATGTTAGACAAATTTCGTACTTCATTAGCTAGAGTTGCTAAGATCATGGGCAGTTAGCTTAAAGAAACCTACATTGTAAGTAGTTACATCAGAGGTTATCGAATCAAATAACTGAAAGAATCTCTTAAAGACGCCGTGTATTTCCAGCCAGAGGACAATCATGGGCAAAGTTTCCGCACAACCCCATACTTCATTATGCACCATGAGTCCTTTGATAGAAGAAAACAATAGCGATAAAAATAGATTACCTTTGGGACTATTCGCTTTGTTTTCAAGGAGTTGAATTTTTTTTTTTAAGTCTTTATTCAAACCTTCAGAAATTTGCTCATCACATCGGGAACAACAACGAAGGTCTACAGCTGCTTGAAGATACCGCTGACTAGCATGCGTTTTACCGCAAGTTGTGAGAACGTAGTCCCCAGGTTCCAGACCTCGCCAATTCTTCTCTTCCCTCCCCACCCCCGGACTGGTCTCATAATCCCCATGAAGAAACTCTTCTACAGCCAGTGCTGAAGAGTTTTATTACAGTTTTAATTATAATGAGGGGCTAGAAAATAAACTAACAGGAACTCCGCTTTTAGGTTTGGCTAAGTCTTTATATTATTTAATATTCTATTAAAGATGACGCAAGATTTTAAGTTATGAATTGTACGCTTTGTGTTATTTCTAAAAAGCTGAAAACCGCGGGCGATTTCCCTCCCTCTTCCCTGAGAAGTTCAACATACTTAATATTAATATTGTGTGACGTTTTTCAAAGATGATGAGTATTGGAGACTTGATTAAAGTTGGCTTAAGTAAGAGAGAGGATATCCACACAGCATTACCCCAGTTTGGGTGAAATGTGAACGCAGCTGTTGCCATGCATGGATTATATTCTGTTCATAACATTTAACCTACACGAATCCGCCGTCCTTTTGTTTATACTCGTAGGGAAAAGAACTAGCTTGAAAGTTATAAAACATAGAAAAGAGATTGCGCGATGATCAACAGCGCAGAACATTAGTTACTAAACGTTCGTCTCACTTGGAAGATTTTATTAGAAAAATGAAGGAAAAGCACTGTTATCCTTCGCGACCATTTGAAATTAGACTGAAAGATTGTGCAAACACGCAGGGAGCCTGTCTTTTTGCGCTTTTCTCTCTACAACAAATTTGACAAACAATTCGGCGGACCAAATGGAGACGAGCAGGAGATTAAGGAGCCCTACATCGAGTTTAATTCCTCGTTCAAAGCACTCGAGCGCCCTGCACGATTGGTTGTATTCCGCTTTCAAAAATTTATCTAAAAGTTGATATAGAAAACGATATGCCTGCTTCTACTTTTATTTTTATCAACAACAACAATTTCACTGTCCATCGAAAATAAATCTAGCATTACTGTTCCCTTGAATTCCAACTTTCCCGATTAATAATTTGTATACCATCGTTGTTTGGCTTCAGTATCTTACGGGTAGATACTCTTGGGTTTGTAACCTTTTACTTGCTGAAAAAAATTGCACACAGTTCATGTAAGTCTCATGCAAGGGTTCAGTTATTAGCAAGGACAACATTGGACGACCGATTGTAAATACAGCGGGATGGATGTCTCTCGCGAGAAAATTCCATAGTACGTCTATGATGCCTCGTCGAATGTGTCTCATCCTCCAACAATAAATGACCAGGTTTAAAGATGAATTAAGAAAGATCAGAGGCTCTCAAAGGCGAAAAAGTTTTTCAGAGCGATACTTGAGCCATAGAATCTGATGATCAGCCGAGCAAATTTGAAAAGGCGCATAAAAAATGATATGCATGCGATGTACAATTAGTTATATCCTGATGTGGAATATGAATTAATGTGGGAATGAAGCCAACAGCTGCACTAACTAAGCCCATGTCATCATGAGTGCCTCACAGCCCCCACGCGGCGATGCAGCTATAATATAACTCCCGAAGAACTCAGTATCAGGTGAGCGTTACACATTAGATTCTCCATCTGCAACCACTTAACAAGAAGTAAAGAGTAAAATGGTTGACCAAATAAACCGCAAGCCACATCAGAAAAGGAAAGGTTCAACTGCTTTTGCAGTTGTTGAAGCTTTGTGTACGATGTAGATTGTCACAGCGTTTAATATGATAGCGGTATAAGTTAGAAAACTAATAAAAATAGAGTCGGCTATCATGGTTGGAAGAAGATCTCTGGTGTCGACACTGGAGGGATAATACTGCAAAGATTTGAGCTCGTTACCACCTGAATGAAAAGTGGGAACTTCAGATAGCTTTATATTCTTATGCTACTGTTTACAGTATAATTATTTTTTGGAAATTTGACACGAGTGGATCCGTTCACTGACTCTGCCTTCTTCTTAAAATATTACCTTTTAGCTATCTTTTCATAAACGTGATGATCCTAAGCTCAATAGAGCTCGATTGTTATTTACTTCATACAAAGGTATACACCATTATGAAAAGTATGACTTAAGTCAACATTTTAAAAGGTCGAGATGTTAACTAGTTTTGTAATTATAAAACAGACATTAATGATGCCGTACATTTAAAAGCCAGATACTTGAATGTCATAAAATCTGTCACGCAGTCAAAGAAAGGCGTTCAGTTATTATCAGGAACGACCCTTGAAGACTGATTGTACATTAGGCGGGGTGACTGATTTCTGCTCCAAGACATCTTGCGAAGTATGTTTATGATAGCGTGTCGAACATGTTTCATCTTCCAACAGTAGATGACAGGGTTCAGCGATGAATTAAGAAAGATGAGGGTCAGAGAAAATAGATAAATTTTTTTCAAAGTAGTGCTCGAGCCATAGATTCTAAAACCAACCGAGCAAATTTGAAAAGGCAGATGACAAATAGCAAACACGAGATTTACGTAGAAAATACTAATTGTAGATTTAATGAGGGCAGCAAATTTCTTCATCTCATCTGACTGAGCTTCCTCTCGTATTTGCATGGACTGGATCTGATTCTTGTGCCTTCGGACAGTTAGATAAATCTTGATATATAATACAAATGTGAGAATAAAGCCAATAGCTGCACTAGCTAAACCAATGGCATCTCGAGTGCTACGCAGCCCCCACAATATCACTGAAGAAACAAATGTACTGTACACCCATATGGAGATCACCATATAAACAACACGCTTGTGAGTCACAAGCTCTTGGTATCTAAGGTGAAGATGAACAGCTAAGAATCTTTCCATACTTACAACCAGAATACCTACGCATGAAGCAAGGGAGAATAAAGCGCCAGAAATACTTAGGATTCGGTAGGCGTTACAGTTTGGATTCTCCATTCGTAACCACTTGACAAGAAGTGAAATGTAGATTGGTTGGCCAAATAAACCGACAGCCATATCAGAAAAGGCGAGGTGAAGAAGAAGCGTTTTTAAAGGTTTTGCAATCGAAGCAGCTTTGTTTATCGCGTAGATTATCGCAATGTTCAACACGACGGCGGTGTGAGTAAAAAAACTGTTGAAGATACAGTTTGTGATGATGGTTGGCCGAAGATCTTTGAAATCGGCGTTGGAGGGATAATATTGGAATGACTTGTTGCAATAGAAATCGTTCATGATGTCATCTCGTTTCTCTTGAATGAAAGATGGGAACCTTAGACAAACAGGA